CATTTTTTGGACTTTGAGGTAGGCACATTGTGGTATAATTTGAAGACTAAAGAGCTCTATTGAAAAAAGATGCAAGCAATTCCAAAACATCTGTGTTATACTTATACCATATGATACAAAAGTGTGTAAATATATTTTAAACACACATGGATTTTTCTAAAAACAAATATCATGATTCTACAAAACACAGAAAGAATCTCTGTCAAAAACAAAATAACTAAGTTATATTATGAACATCAAGAATAAAATTTTCATACTCTTTACATTAAATTAATTCACAATTATGAGGTGGTTACTAGTACCAGTATAAAACCTACTGGCATCAACCTTTTTGATGGACCTTAGTAGTAGTAGTAGAGCTATGTGACTATATGTATACATTTAGTAGTAAGGTGTAAATTACAAATGTATAAAGTGAAATGTTTAAATTTCATTGAACTTTATGACATTTATAAATTATAGAGAGTTGTGGCACACAAAAATACTAGTTTTGCATAATATTGCAAAATCAACATTTAGTAGCTATGTTGATGCAATAAATGGAATTAATGTAAACTGCAAATCAAATACCACTGCATCACTAAAGATTCTATTGCTAGTATTGGCACTAATACTAGTAATAGTAGTTGTGGTACTGGTAGTAACACTGTTCTAAGCCTAAGTTTAAGAATAGATCTCAACAGTAACTAATTAATTAATTAATATTAATAAATAACTAATTAATACAATTATTAATAGCAATATTTATCAATTTCAAATTAATGAAACGATTTTTAATTAAAAATACAAAGTTTTAATTGTGCTTTTTTCAAACTAGTTTTAAATTATATAACTATAAATTACAAAAGCACACATTAACTTGACATTAGTTTTATAAATAATTAATATTGTCAATAATATTTATTAATAACTTAAGCTAAATGTAGTACTAGTACTAGCTAGCGTCTACGTTACAAGTAGTAGTACTACTACCTCATTAGCTTTAGAATAGTCTACACACAATTATATATTACTATTAGTGATACTAGTATTAGTAATAGTATTGCAGAAACTACTTACGGCTTTATGGTGTGCTAAAAACTGTCCAGATAAACTTATAGAAAGCTTATTCTAAATTTAATGTTGATTTAAAAATTCAGCCTTACGTAAAACTAACAAATTACAATGACGAACGTTTCTTAAATGTTGGTTAAACATTTAGGAAAAAATACATTATCAGAGGAATAGGCTTACCAGAGGACTCATACCAGTACCACTACATACAATAATTAGTGAAGTTACCAAAAATATTTCCTTTAACATACCTGAAAGCAAAATTAGCTAAAATTTCTTAATTTCAATCAACTTTATCGAGTATATTTTAAGTATTTCAAATTAAACAATTCTCAATTTCAATCAACGAATACGTACAAAACAGGACAGGTGAAAGCCACTTTTCAATAAAGCGCTGTAATCACAAATAACTAAAAAAAAGGAATAATACTAATATCATTTATTGTATTTCAAATAACAATAAATATCAATAATAATAAATAGTAAGAGACGATAAAACTAAGTTTTTGTTTCTTTGTTTCTAGTAATTAACATTATCATAGTGTGTGAAAGGAATGATCTACACTTAGTACTATTTTCTACCTGCTGTTATTTTAAGCTGGGGCTGGGCGTAGCTTAATTTTGAGCAACTTAGGCAGAAAATCAAAGAGTCCGCACTTTCAACTGTAGGTGCATTAGTTGGTCCAAAAGTGAACAAAATACCTGTAGCGGCGTGGACCGCTGGCTTTCTGCATTAGATTTGGCCAAGAGTTCAAAATCAGAAATGACTCCCATCCCACTTCTTTTCTGGAGGGCCCTAAACCATATCTCTACCTTTTAGTAGATTGTAACTTACAATGTAAGCTCTTCAGAATGGAAGGGTTTAATAGACGATGTAATAAATTCTTACGGCGGCAAGGGACTAGGGAAAGAAACTTTTTTTCTTCTTCTTAAAACTTCGTAGAAGCGCGAGGCAGGAATGAAACAAAGTTGTTTATACAGATGACGCGAATGAACCCTATTGCTATGGGCTTCGTCGGTGTGAGCGAGTTCGTAACCAAGTAACCATCAAAGTTTCCATACTACACTCGTAACATTACACATATGTTTATACTTATTTCTTTATTACCCTTTGAACCGTTTTTAACTAATATCCTGTCACACAAGGTGTAATCACTCGGGGAACGTGCAACCCATGTTACCGTATCCAATACATAATGCACGAGCTGCTACCGAGCATATCTTACGAAGAACTTTTATTATTATATTTTTAATTACCTTACATAACCTGCCCCTGTCTAGCCTAATAAGTTTCTAATTTTTACATTTTAGTTACTTTTATAACAATAAATAAAGAATACACATGAAAAACAAAAAATGTAGTTCTTAGCTTCAAAATTTCATAAACCATCCCGCTTTCTCTTTTCCCTCAATTCAAGCATTGAAGTGTTACGACAGTGGGGGTCACGTGACGAATATTCTAGAAGATTCGCTAGTGTGTTGCGACAGTGGGTGTCAGTTGACGCTGGTAGTACGTGTTGAGAGTCTTAGAAGTTTCTAGAACAGGCAGTATTATCGTATATAAGTGCGCTAAACAGTGAGAGAGACAGACGGATTCGAAGCAGTAGTGGAGACAGACGCAAGCAGAGACAAAGCAGGCAGAGAGAAAGAAAGACAGCGATTACGGCTGGCGGGAAATAAGGATAGCGGACACAGAGATCGGAACTATAGTTTGCGGGGACGGACAATTAAGTCTAAGCGCGATAGAAAGTGAGT